TTACAATTATTGTTGTTAATTAGGTGACTGAAGAGGTTGAACGAGCGATGAGGCATTGTGCTCCACGTTCGATAACTCGATCTCCTTCTCTGCGAATCGAAGCAATCGATCAGACTCAAGCATCGGGTTATCAGCTAATGTTCAGCAAGAAGCTTTCTCTCCCAATATTCACTGGAACAAGGATTCTGGACAGTGATGGGAAACCTATCCAAGTCATGCTTGTTGAGAAGAACGGTGACCAATTGGTCCGAACCTGTCTCCCCCAACCCCTCAAGCTGGAGCTGGTGGTTCTCGACGGAGACTTCCCCGCCGGCGACAAGGACGCGTGGACCACCGATGAGTTCGATAGACACACAGTGAAGGAGAGAGCTGGGAAGCGACCCTTGCTCACCGGAGAGTTGAACCTTACCATGAGGGATGGGATTGCACCGATCGGTGACATTGAGTTCACCGACAATTCAAGCTGGATTCGGAGCCGGAAATTCCGTGTCGCCGTCAGAGTTGCTCCGGGGAGTAACCTTGGTGTTCGGATTCGTGAGGGCATGACGGAGGCCTTTGTCGTCAAGGATCACCGTGGAGAATGTAAGTATTCTATTTTCATATACTTCAATCAAATTAACTTGCACTTCTTGATCATAGTTTTTGGTTGGCTTTCTGCAAGCAAAGGCCATAATTTGGTAGGTTCGAATTTAAGCACCTTGGTCTTGCATATATTTTTAACATTTTGGTGTTTAAGCTTTGACCTGCACTCGGGTTCAATTTATTTTTAATTAGCATCATTAACAAGAATAATATCAATATATCAGTCATTTGGTTTACAAGTGTCATTTGTTTACCATAATATTAGGTTGTCGATACCAGTTCTTGAATCAACCTCTTCTTTTATAAATACGTAGACCTAGTCAAGAAGAAAATTTATTAGATATACATTTCATGTGCAGACATACACTATACATGTGTAGATATTCATGAAGTTCTAAAACTATATATGTACAGCTTTACATCTTTTACATTAATTTTAATGACTGTCCCACATCATTCCAAGTTGCACGCCAGCAACAAAGTAGACAATGAAAAAGAAAGAAAAGACGTAAAACTTTACTGGAATTTGGCATGATTTGAACATCATCTCTGTATAGATTAGGCTACACACACGTATTCAACTTTGACAAAAAAAATATTCGAATAAAAAATTATTTATACAATCTTCGAAAAATAAAATAGCTAGTTAGGCATAGTTTCTGGAAAGCCCAGGTTATAAATATATATATAATTTCGATCATATTTCAGAATTTTATACAATAATAAATATATTTGCAAATGAAAGTTTGAGGTCGTAATCTAAATTCAAAGACTCGAGTGTGTGTGTGTGTGTTTGTGTGTATATATTTGTAAAATAATCTATATATGTATGTTTGTATGGTTATCCACTTTATAGCTGTATATATATCCAGAATGTGTCTGTGTAATTTATATATTGGACATCCCTTTCACCCTTTCCAGCAAGTAAATGGTTGTCTGCATTTTTTTCTTCTCGCTTATTTTCTCCCTTAATTTATTTATATATATGGCAACAGATCAAGAAAGTGATTGCTAATCTTTTGGCCAAAAACACAACTAAGCTTAGAAGCTTTAATTTTTCCCGCAACCTTGCAGACTCCCATGGTCCCACCAATGCAACCTTTTTGCACTGTTGCAGAAAACCATGAATTTTATACTATTGAGCTATGCAAAATACAGTATATATACGTATTTAACTAACTTATCACAACTTGTTACAAATATATGTATAGTGATTAAACAAGGAAACTAACGTAAATTAAAATGGATGTGAAGTGTACAAGAAACATCATCCGCCAATGTTGGACGACGAAGTGTGGCGTCTGGAGAAGATCGGGAAAGAAGGAGCTTTCCACAAGAAGTTGTCGTCAGCGCATATCAAAACCGTACAAGACTTTCTGAAGCTGTTAAGTATCGATCCTCAGAAACTCAGAGGGGTAATTCCCATTTCCCAGTTTATCTAATTATTAATAATCTTAATTATTAATATGTATGTATGGTCGTGGGAATGTAATTTTATTTCTGGTGGGAATATATGGCAGATTCTGGGGATGGGGATGTCCGATAAAATGTGGGAAGCGACAGTGAAGCACGCGAGGACATGTGAAATGGGGACCAAGCTCTACTTGTACCGTGGGCCCCACTTCGCCCTCTATTTGACTCCAACCTGCCAGGTCGTCAAAGCTGAAATGAGCGGCCACATCTTCTGGGGCAAGGATATTACGGCTAACTTTAACAGGGTATGACCCAATTTATTTTCTGATCACATCTTCTTAATTTAATTTCTGCTAAAAAAAAAAACAGAGAGACTATTTTAAATATAACTTATTTGTTCGGTTGATTAATTGGTACGAGAACAATGTCGTCAATTTGCAGAACTACATAGAGAAATTGGTGAAGGAAGCATACGCGAAGTGGAATTGCTTGGAGGAAATTGATTCATTTTTGGCGGCTAACATTTCCACACTAACCCAAGGTATGTTAATTAGTATAACTTTCTCGATTATCATTGTTGATTCCTTAATTAATTAGAATAATTGATCGAGAATTTATTTATATATTACGAACAGGGGAGAACATGGAGCAAATGCCAAACAACAACAACAATCTAGGAATGACATATGATCATCAGGTGGGTTTCTTACAGGAAGGCTACGGAATAGGAACAGATAATGTTCAAATTGGAGGAAGCAGCGAGTGGCCGGCGAATGCGACATTCTCGGCAACATCGTACGTAAATGCTGCCATGTCTTATAACTTCTCAGAGACACAGTCAGATGGCAATATAACACCCTCTGTTTCTCTCATGGATGGGGCTACAACTCCAAGGTGGCCTTGACCCCAATTCTGTACATATTACATAAACATAGGACCTTACCACTTGCCATCGTCAAATGTTTTAGCCCTTCAAACACTGTTTCCTTAGCATCTCGGTGTTTAGATCGGGCTTTGTTATGTTAGGTTGTAGGAAGTAATTGTTAGGTTGGTGGTGGTAGGCCCATTTTTAAGAAGATGATGGGCCGGGCCTGTCCTTCAAAATGGTCAACCTTGCCCTTAATGGGCCAGTGTTGCAGTGTTTTTCCAACTTTAAACAAAATCACAAACACTATGTCATGTAACTATACTTCTGCAACGTGTTGTTTCATTTCTTTATGGTCTTCATTTTGTTTTTTTGTATTATTTTTAAGGTTTGCTTTCGTTTTGCAATGATCTTCGTTCAGCTTGAGTTTCATGCTATGCTTGGATTACAAAGAAAAAATAAAAAGAAGAGAAAATGTGAGATAAAAATGGAGAGAAGAAAAAAAAAACAAGATATAATTTTTTTCTTTCTATACTTTGGCTGATAGAGAGAAAATGAAAAGAAAGAAAAACTATTAATCTCATATAGATAAGAAAAACTTTATTATTTGTAGAAAAATATTTGTATAGAATAAAATTTAATATTTTAACATATTATTTATATAATTTTTACTATATATTACTGATTAAATAAAAATATAATTGTAAATTCTTTTACTCGATGCTAGTAGTAAAAAGATTATTTTGTCCAATTTTAATTTTTGTTTCCTAAATTATTAAATATAAAATAATTTAAATTTTAAAGTGGAGGAAAAATTATGATAAAAATGGTGGGAGGTAACAGGTAAAATATGAAAAGATTCATGGAAAAATTTTAAAATTGAATTTTCTCTTCAAAATTTCTCTATATTTGAATAGAAAAATTGAATATAAAAATATGTGAGTTATACATGTTATTTTTTTATTTTTAAATTTACTCCTTTTCTTGTTCTTTTCTCTTTAATCAAACACGAGAAAGTGTCAAAACCTCTCCACTTTTCTCTCTTCGTTATTTTCCCCCCCTGCTCTTTTCCACTGCAAGTACAGCATCAACGTTAATATGCTATTAGTAAAATCCAATCTAGTAAATGGGGATTATTTCGCACACACAAATTGAGGTGAGATTCATATATAAATGTAATTAAAATATTTCATAAATAAAAATTGAAATTCACAACTTCGCATGAAAATATTATTCCAGAAGTTATTTTCATAAATCATGAGTGCTTTAACAGTTTAACCTCCAGTCCATTGGAAATTCTAAATTCCAAGTATCTTCCCATCTATTATACCCCAGAATATGATCTCAACCTGAGATCTGTATGTCATCATTTGCTCAGCAATTTCTGTAACGTGTGAACATCCAGACTCGAAATAATTCTAATAACCAAGAAATTTCGAGGATTTTGCCTCCTTTTCGATATCACCATACGGTACCTTTCAGTTTTCACATCCACTGAGTCCCTTGTCCCCCCGCCAAGGCAAAGTCAACTTGTCCACAACTGCATCTCGTTTCTTTATATTAGCAGAAAATATCATAACCATTTCACAAGACCCAAAGTCGCCATCTTTCTGCCAAACCCATAATCAACCCGATACATCCCAACATCAACAGAAACATTTCGTAATGCTGAAACTCGCATGTTTTCTTCTCCCTCTGTTTTCCTTCTTCAACCGTAGTGCTTCTGCTAGCAACTCCACTTCATCCTCCACAGTTTGTCCCACCTACAACTGTGCCGATGGGCTCAAAATCAGGTACCCTTTCTGGGTCTCTCATGGTTCCCCTCCTGACCAATACTGTGGTTACCAAGAATTCGGCCTCATCTGCTCTGACCAAGGTGGCTACCCCATTTTCTCTCTACCTCCTGGGTTATATTATCGTGTCGCCGACATAGACTATGACAATCATACCGTTCACCTTATTGATGTTGACACTTTCAACCAAACATGTCCAAGAGCACTTCACAAGGTTCCCCTGGGAAATTTGCCCCTTTCTCACTCCCCTTTGAATTTGAACCTTAGCTTTCATTACAATTGCAGTTCTCACCCCTCTGATGCGTCGCCCATAACGTGTTTGACATCTGGTGTGAAGCAGTCCTTTGTGTTTGTGACGGGGAACGAAACTGAGGGTTTTGATTGGTCCAATACTTGTGAAGAGAGTGTTGTCGTGACGGTGATGAAGGACGGGATTACAAGTGAAGGGTTGATGAATGAGTACAGAGAGGCCATGAATGAAGGGTTTATTCTTGACTGGCAAACTGCTAAGAGTTGTGATGAGTGCGAAGCTTCTGATGGGATTTGTGGTTACAGCAATACCAGAAAGGAGTCCTTGTGCTTCTGCAAAGACGGCAGTGTGCAAAGCAATAGCTGTTCAGGTATGCTAAAGTGTTTCACTTTCTTTCTTGATCTCAGCCTGAAATATTTTCCAGTATTCTACAGTACTCTTTTTTAGGGGGGTTTGATTGGAAGGGAGGTTGTTTGGCTTGAAAATATTTTTCCTCCCTCCCCTTCCCAACCCTCCCTTCAAATTGGAAGTATTGAGAGAAGAGGAATAAAATTTATCACACCATAATTAATATGTTTTTTGTAATAAGTTTAAAAAATATAAATGCACTTTTTTAATATTTTAACACTAATAAATATAAATAAAATTGTTTATATATAATTATTTTTTTCTCTACTCTTGAATCAAATAAATAATATTAAATTTCTCTCCTCCCTTTGGATTAACATCCCTTCCCTCTTCTCAAATCAAACACATGCTACAGTAAGCTTGCAATAGTAGTCTAACTACTATATGTTGACTGTAGCCACAAAGTCATTGTAAATTGGTAAGTTTTCCACTTTTCCTTGGTTCATGTTTTATTGATGAAATATGTTGTTGTTGGGTGACAGGTAGAAGCAAGGCCCGTTTGTCAAAGCCCATAATTGGTACGCTCCCTCTACATATCCTCTCTTGCCCATTTTTTTCTTTCACACGATGATCAAAACATGGTCATGTAATGGTTAGAATTTTTTCACGGAAGCGTATTACATGATGAATCAGAAAATGCTTGTATATGACTAAACTTTCAAAGCTGTATATATTGATCATTTGACAACCAAGCTTCTCAAACAGAGATCTAAATGTTGCCCTCGAACAATTTTCTGTTGAATGCTTCATTTTTTTGCTGTTGAAAAATGACAAATTAAAGTTAAAGAATAAAAAGTAACCTTTTTTTTTTTAAAAAAAAATATATTACATAGACAACATTATATTACAACCTGAGATAAAGAGCAAAAAGAAACAGACCTAAACCTAGCTAACAAACAGGAAATATCAGTTCTGATTAAATGAAGTTTAGAATCTGTCGGCAGACATCCAGTAATCAACCTGACAGAACTAGTTTTTTCCACTCCCATTGTAAGAGGATGTCGAAATGTTTGAAATATGAGATATTTCTTACTGATAAATTGCGGCCGCTTCCTGAATTCCGTCAATAAAAGCCCAACGCTCTGATTCTGTCCCTCAGAACACCAATCTCTTGTATATAATATCCTTGTTGAAAAATAATTGGAGCAGTAGTTCTTTTCCTTTTTCTCCTCCTTTTTATTTTCCTTAAGTTTAACAATAAAAAGCCAACCACTAAACACTGTCACCGAATCCCAATGAAAATTCCTTTTAAGGTCAACATTCAGCCGCATTTCCCCTCTTCAGTAATATGACTCGAAGTCTCCGACAAATCATCCAGTTTACAAGTTCAATAACAGATTCAGGTCTTGGTTGAGCTTTCTCATGCAACATTTTGGTTATAAAAAACCATACGTTATATAGGATAGAACAACTCTGTCTATATTTGTAGTCGATCTCAAACCCAAATAAAAGAGGAGGCTTGTATTGAACCCTTGACAGTCAACATAAAACTTTGTCAAATCTCACATAGACATGGACATATGAGACTTATTGTTGCTACTGCTGCTGCTGTTGTTATACAGGATAGAACACATGAAAATCTGAACCGGTGCAGAATTATTTGGCATTTGTGACATCAATAAAAAGTAACATTTTGGAATGCAGCATGAGCCTAATAAGCCCAATACGACTATCTTTTATTATAATATGTCCTTTCCCATTTACCATCATAAGGGGCTACGTCATATTTTTTAACCCCCCTGAATTGTCTTCTATTTCTGTCGACAGGTCTAATAGTTGGAGGAATTGCAGCTCTGCTGACATGCATCCTTATTGTCTCTTTGAGACGAAAATTGTCATTGATTCTGTCAGCGGAGTTTTGGAAGATGACAAACAATGATCAGCGCATAGAATCCTTCATCAGAAATAATGGACCTCTAACAATAAAAAGATTTACATTTTCAGAAATCAAGAAAATGACCAACTCTTTTGAAGTCAAATTGGGAGAAGGAGGTTATGGTAGAGTATACAAAGGGATTACAATAAAAAATTGCCCAGTGGCCGTGAAGGTATTGAATGCATCCAAAGGGAATGGTGAAGAATTTATCAATGAGGTTGTCAGCATTAGTAGGACTTCACATGTAAATATTGTCACTCTCCTTGGTTTTTGTCTTGAAGGTGGCAAAAAAGCACTTGTGTATGAACTCATGCCAAATGGTTCGCTTGAAAAGTTCATATACAACAGGAAATTGGAGACAAATCCACCCTTGAGTTGGGAAAAATTACTCCAAATTGCTGGAGGGATAGCTAGAGGGCTAGAATACTTGCATAGAGGTTGCAATGCTCGAATCTTGCATTTTGACATAAAACCAAACAATATCCTTTTAGATGAAAATTTTTGCCCAAAAATAGCAGATTTTGGATTAGCTAAGCTTTGCTCAAAAACTCACAGTAAAGTGTCAATGTTGGATGCTAGAGGGACTGTTGGGTATATAGCACCAGAAGTATGGAACCGAAATTTTGGAGGTGTCTCTCACAAGTCAGATGTGTATAGTTATGGAATGTTGATTTTGGAAATGGTTGGAGGAAGAAAGAATGTCAATGAAGAATCAAGTTATTCAAGTGATATATACTTTCCTCATTGGGCATATGGCCAAATTGAGTCAGGCAACAAGATAATAGGGTATGATGATATAACGAGAGAAGAAAGTGAAATTGCAAAGAAGATGATCCTAGTGGGATTATGGTGCATTCAGCCCATGCCATCAGATAGGCCTCCCATGAACAGAGTGATTGAGATGTTGGAAGGGAGCTTGGATCAGCTGTCAATACCACCAAAGCCTTTCATATTTCCACCTACAATTCCAAGAACGGGAGAGGAAAACTTTGCAACAAATGGTGTTCTTTCATTTTCGGCTGATTATCAATGTGGTAGATAGAATTATATCTCTTTTGTAAAAGTTAATTAAATCCTTGTACATTTGCAATGGCATCATAGATATGAAATTTGTAGTTTGAATTTCAAGAATTATGTGCAGTCATCAAGTGAAAAGTATAGTATATGATATTATTGGGATGTTATACCAATGCTTAATTAGGTTTAAATAGGTAAAGTCTAATAGGCTTGAAGTGGCTAACCCTCTAGAATTGAGGGCTGGCCCATTCATATATTGTTTTTATTAAAAATTATTGATATTTAAGAAATATTGAGGGAGAAAATTCAAATTTGAAAAAAAAAACAGTAAAAATGGAAAAGAAAAAACAGAAAATCCTCATTTAAATGAAAAAATTTAGATATTTTTGCCATATGAAGAGCCAACTCAAAGTGAAACACAATCTTTTGATTGTTGATATTATATATGATAATGATGAAAATCACAATGATCATTACGATGGTGCTGCTAATGTTTGGGTCTTATTGGTTTATTAATATTTAGGTAAGACTTGTTTGATTTATTAAACTTTGTTTAGTTTTATTTTAAAATTTTAACAATGATTTGATATTTTAGTTGGTTAATATTTAATTATTTATGATTTAATTTGTTTACTTATCATATATTCATTTCAAAGCAAAAAAATTTAAAAATAATAAAAAGGCTTCAAGGCGGGCCTTGAACTTAAAAATTCAAAGGCTTCACTTTGCAAACAATATAATTTTTAGATAATCTAACTTTTTAGGCCCAATCTTTTTAGGTTCAAGCCTATGTAGAACTACCTCATTTTTTCACTTTCATCAATATTTTACTATTTATCTTAACAGATTTCTAACAATATTATTTTCTTTTTAATTTAAAATATAAAATTTGATGCACTAAATCGATAATTGAGATAAATGTAAAATTTTTGTTTTATATATATATAACAACTAATTTACTCTTATCTTACTACTAAACTCTATTATTACTATTTTTTTTTCAAGTGATGAAGGATGCCAAAATCAACATGAACTATGTGTGATTAAGTAATTCTCCTTATTTTAGTACTATTGCTTTTCTTTGACTTCTAAATCATTGTTTTTGCAATCTAACTTTTCTTTGACTTCTTATCGTACAAAATTCATTATTTTTTAAAGCAATTGATATAGTTTTTAGATAATCTAACTTTTTAGGTCAAATCTTTTTAGGCTCAAGTTCATCTAAAGCTACCTCATTTTTTCACCTTATCAATATTTCACTATTTATCTTAACAGATTTTTAACAATATTACTTTCTTTTTAAATAATAAGAATTAAATTGATGACTGATGAGATGAATTTAAAAAATAAATTTTAATGGACTAAATTGATAATTGAGATAAACATGAAGACTAAATTTTTTGTTCTATATATATATATATAAAACGACTAATTTACTTTTATCTTAATACTAACTTCTATTATTGCTAATTTTTATTTTTTAAAGTGACGAAGGATGCCAAAATTAACATGAACTATGTGTGATTAAGTAATTCTCCTTATCTTAGTCCTAAGTTACTTTTCTTTGACTTCTAAATTCATTTCTTTCACAAAAAAGGTGACCAAACTGGTTGAACACCTAAAATTGATGGCTAACTTTGAAAGTTTCACGGCTAATTTTTCATTGTTTGACTTCTAAATAATTTTTTCAAAGAAAAAGAAACCTACAGATTTCCAACCCTATTGGGAAAAGTTGTCAGCAGCAACGGGAAAGGATTTTTTTATTTATATATATAATTGATCTGTCATTTTTTTGGTAAAAACTCTTCCTTAAAAAAAAATGCTAAAAAGACCATGAAATTAAGTTATTTTGGTTGGGGGGGGGGGGGAGGTCCTTCAAGAGAATTCACGCTATAACCTTAATTTGTTGGGAGGACCTTGGTCCTTTTTTCAAATATTTTTACTTAATGGTCCTTCTTACCAATTTTTGCCCATCTACAAGGAGCCAAGATCCCCAAGAATTAATTACAAAAGATCCTTAAACATAATGAACTTTCTGAATTGGTCCTAAGCACCATTCTGCCAAAAATGTTAGGCAACAACTCGGTAGAGTGTGTCAATTATTTTTTCCTCACGTGTCACGCTCCGCTACCTATTCTATTAAGAAAATAGATACCAACCCGCCATTTACACGTGATTGCTTTTTATATTAGTTGTTCGAAATAGTGTATACTCTTTTAAAGTAAACTATATACTGATTATCAGAATCAAAACTATATACTGATTATATTGAAAGAAACAGATACAATATAATGTATTCAAAAGTTTAATGTTATTTTTAATTCCTTTTTGCTCTAGTACAACTGCATTCATAGAGTTGACTTCCCTCGATTAGAGGAAACCTTTCAAATATGAGTTATTAGATTGGATTCGATGATTTAAATTTAATAATTTTTATTCAAAGTACAAATTAATTTGTATATTAAAAATATAACTTGAATGGTTTAAATTCATTATGAAGACGCAATGAACAGGAAACGTAAGAGATATCAAGGCACGCATTTACAATGAAGCTGCTCCCAAGATTTAATCGTGAGGATGATATAATTTGATGATCTTTGTTTTGGCCTCTTGATTCTGAAGCTGTAAGATGATCAGGTCTTAATTATAAAAAAAAGTTTTAAAGTCTTATTTGATTTTAAACATAAGATAAAGATATACTGGTTAATATTTTTTCAATATTGCTTTTCTTTAAGCATTGCACCAAGTTGTAATTTTTAGACACATTATATTTTGATCATTAGTTTTAGGGAGGGGCAAAATTGAAAGGTTAAATATTTTTATAAATTTAAGAATATTAATTATTATTATTTTAATAACCATAAAATTGTTTAGCTTTATCTTATAATTAAAACGAGATAGTATTTACCATTCAAGAGTTGCATCAATTGATCAATTACAACTAATTAAACATCATTTCACATTGTTCAAATCAGCCTCCAGCACTTCCATCCTCAATTCCTTTTTGCTGTGACTGCCCTTTGTCCCTTGTTGCATTGCAATAAATGAAAAATGCACAGCTAACAAAAGCATTTCCTTACAACTAACAAAAAAAAAAAAAGTGATATAGCTGATAAGAATTCAATTCATAAGTTACAAGTAACCAAATCCAAATGATTGATGGTGAAAAATAACTATGTTATTTCTTAAGTCTTCTCTTTATTCTATATGTATGAGATGCTTTTGAAAAAAAACATTGAGTTTAATATTTCTCTGCTCTCTTATCATAATATATGACTTTTGATGTGGTTAACATATTATATCACCTATGTTATGGCTTTTCATATATGGTTAACAAATTGAATTACTTATGTTATATTGTGTACTTTTAAATTTTATTTACTAGTTAATTACTTGAGTGAATTTATTTATGACCAACATTTTAATTCTTTCAAAATCAATGTACAATTTAGCGAGGAAATAATGAGAAAATTATTTCTCTCCAATAAAACCCATTTGCTAGGAATTAGTGAGGAATTTTCCTCTCTCATTATTTGCTAGCCTTGATATTTTATTGTCAATTACAATTTATTAACAAGAAAATAATGATGACAAAATTTCTTGTTAATATTAGCAACGATAGCATTCTTCCCTAATATTAGCAAGGACCGCATTCCTTACAAAAAGTCCTAGCTAAATATATAGGATTGATAATTAATGAAGCTCTGATTGCCTCACTAAAATTAGAAAGGAAATAAGGTTTTCGCTAATTAACAAGGAAAAAATTATTTCTTGCTAAACATTAATAACTTGTTAGTTATTCATGAGCAATATATGGTTCTTATTAAATCCTAATTTTCTTGTAATGTGAGATCAAATCATATGATCAATGTAAAAATATTATTGATGGGCAATCTTTAAATACATACGTAAGTATTTTTTAAGTTTGAAAGCATCTGCTATCCTTGTGGAATCTTACGACCAAACTCACTAAAAAATTTTCGCTTTAAACTCTCCTTTCCTTCAATAAACCAAACATTACCTTAAAAAAATTAATTTTCCCTTTAAACTTTTTCCTCTAATCTTATTTACAAGTTATTTTTAATATATTTTCTTTAAATTAAAAATTGTTAATTCTTTTTACAATTTAATAAGTTTTTAACATTGCACTTATTAAATATACACTTTAATAACATAATTTTTCTTACCAACATCTATTAACGTGGGAAAAAATTAATAACATGTCTTATAATTAGGGAAAAAAAGTTTTTTCCTTCTTCCTTGGCTTGTTAATAAAACCAGAAGAAATTCACTTTGTATTGAACCAAATATTAACCAGCCAGCTGGCTAATAATCTCTTGCATTATATGGGATTTGAGAAATGAGTCCTACTAGCAACGAGTAATTAATAATGCAACTTGTATATGTTATATTAAATTATAAATTTATATTTATATTGATTATATGGTCCTGGCAATCATAATTTCCAGAATAAGAAAGGAACAGCATGGCGCATGCAGCCTTCGAGGTTGACTTTGGAGAATGAGAACAAAAGACACGAAGAGTGGGTTGGTACATAAGCGAAGCCAAGCCAACTTTATAGATTCAATTTTCTTAGAAGTGGTGGTTGATTAGTTTCTGTCAAATGGGAAAAACGAAAGACATTTCACAACTGTTGAAAAAGAATGAGAACAAAAGACAGTGCAATTTGTTGAACGGCACAGCACATACAAGAAGATTATTCAACACAGATTCTGGAAATTTAAGGGAGAGACTAATCAATATATATGGATAAAATCTTTGGAAACAAGGACCCAGCTTTTTAAGACTTCTCCAAGAATTTACAATTTTTACAATGACTTTCAAGGCACCTTAATGAATCTGCATTATCGTTGATTCTTGAAATTTGATTGTGGATTTGCAATGTATAGCTATAAAAAACTTCAAAACTTAAACCGTTTCCTCCTTCTATATATTACGCTCATTTGATCGTGATGCATTCTAATTTTTTCGATGCTTTGCGTCCAAAGCTTCATTAACAGTATGAGTTACGTTGTAATAACTTGATATCAATTCCATGATTTAGATGCAACATGCAAAAGAACATTCTATTTCGATAAATTAAAAAGGTCATGGTGGAAATTCTGCGTCTCTGTTTTTCCATGATCCCATCCTTCCCCTCCAGGAAAAACAACCTTCGTTGGCCATCCTTGAAGTCAACATTCCTAGCTATGTGCTAGCCAATGAATTTCCAGAGCCATCAGTACTTGGGTACGTGTACTATTATAAGATATTTTTTAATTTCTAATAATTTTACAAATACCAATAAAATCAATTAAATAAAATTTAAAATCTTAATTTCTTGAAAAAATATAAATTTTTAAAAATATTCTTCATATAGTAAAGACAAGAGAAAAGAAAAGATATTTAAGAAGTAAAATAATGTGAGATAATTTTGAAACAAGTTTTATTAGTGAATCATTATTTTTTTCAAAATATTTTATAAGAAAATTAATTCAACAGTTCTTATAGTTTTCTCTAATTTTGAATCAGGTAGTTGTAACTTCTTTTGTTTCACTTGGCCCCTTATGTTTTTAATTGTTAGCAACGTTAGTCCCTCCCTTCTTGAGTAAAGCCTTAACTCATCATCCAACACCGTTAGTTAAGTTGATGTGGCATCTATATTGTTGCAATGCTGCTTACCTTTCTTGGGCTGTCAAAAATTGCAAAGCTATGGGGCAGGAAAGAAGACGACCTCGAAGGATTAGTCTTTCATCGCCTCACTAATGAATATTTCACAATTCCGCAAAGTCGGCTTCATTTGCAAATAAGACTAAATAATTCAAAAAGAAAAGAGTTGCAAAATAAAAAGGTCAAGAAGTTTATTTTTGGTTAGTGGAATTTCATTTGTTAAAGACAATGAAAATGTTTCACATAGCATAAGAAGGTATCGTGGGCTTGTGCTTACTTGTCTATTGCTTTTGTGTGCTTCTTACTGTGGCAAATGAAAGCATGTAATGTTAGTAATGGATGATCTAATTAATTCATTGAATTGGTTATCTCAATGGGATCCATTCAAGGCTTTACGTGTGCATTAATGAGTGTGAACCATTGTGTGAACATGCAATGCTATTTTTGCTTTCCAAGTGGTACCTGAACCAATTAGTTGATTGCCTAAATGAAATGGAGTGTGTTACAGCAGCTAATCTTAAATTTACTGAAGTTATGTTTTAAGTTCTATTTTATCATGCTACTATATTCTCATTGTTTTTGTTTTATTCTCTTGTGTTCAACTAAGTTTTTTCACCTAAAAACAGAGATAAACAGAGCATTTTTCTCTTTAAAATACAATGGCTGTATAAAACAAAGTGGCTGTAGGATAGTGATGATGAAGTTGACTTGGTTAGTAAAATTTGTAATTGTTGAAGAATAATGAGACAATCAAGGTGAACTCCATTCATTAGCTTCTTACAGTGACCCAAATATGGATACAGAGTAAATAGCCATTCATGCTTTCCTGTGTCTAGAATACTTTCATGCTCCTCAGCCTCCAAATTGAGAAGGCAACATAGATTTGAACGAGCAGAAAATAGATAGAACACAACAAAGAGCGAACACGGCTAGCTTTTCATGTTTGTAGTTTCCATTTTTAGCAGCGAAATCAACAACAATCAAGAAACAAGAAGAAACACGAATGACACAAGAGTCCAAAGATTCAAAACCTAAGGCATATTTCTCCTCCTTCAAGCTAGAACACACTCATCACTCCATGGTGTCATTGGCCTAAACAAATAAAATAGAGTCAGTGATGAAGGAAGGAGAGAACCCAGCAGAGAGGAAGATGCAGAGACCAAAAACGATGTTTTACACAACATCTTGCTTCTCCTTTGAAGTTTCGGTCTCTCCCTAACAGTTCATGCTGTCACGATTTTCCACCTAGATATTACATCAGCTTAAATCAACGGTGCTAGATAATATGTTAGGGCTTTAAGATTGTAGGATTAATATGTCTAACATTTAAAAGTATAAGCCCCTAATTAAAACAAAAGGAACTACAAGAACTTGATTCAAAATTGAGGCAAATTATAAGGAGCTGAGAATTAATTTTTCCTATTTTATATTAGAGAATATTAAAAAATCATTCTAACCAATTTTTCTTTTTTTCTTTTTTTTATTATGAAGGTAACATGTGATGTGGTCAACATGCTAGGCGTAGTCAAGGCAGTTAGAGATAAATTAAAGGTATATCTATTGTAATCAAAAAAGGTATGCTCAGCCGGAAACCGTGAGGCAAGAAAATTCAAATTACTTTCTGAACAAATAATTCAAGCTAATCTCGGACTGTCCTTTTGTGTTCACATAAACTTGCAAAAGATAGATTGGTCCGAAACTCGCTTTTATTTTGTCTGTCACACTTCCAGTCTTCTACTCAGAATAATTTCCATTTAACATTTTGAGCTGAGTGTATTTTCATCTTCTCCATTACTATCAACCCCACAGGCTCCCACCAATGGATAATCATCCTATCCGTTTTCTTACATCCATAGTTATCATCACCTTCTTCTCCATAGCTTTGCCACAAGCCTACTCTCAGCAAAATGAAACATACTCTGTTTGCAGCCAATCATACAGTTGTGGATCTCTCACAAACATTTCCTACCCTTTCTGGGGACACAACCGACGCAGTTTTTGTGGCAGAAATGGCTTCCAGCTCGTATGCCTGAATGATCAGAACACTACAATTCAAGCTGGCTCACAAACTTTCAATGTTCTGCAGATTAACCAGACTGGCTTTACCATGCGACTTGTGCTACCAGAATCAGACTATGATCTTTGTCCTCCCAATATTACCAACACTTCTCTGCATGGCAGTCCCTTTAGTTTTCAACCTACAGTTCAAAACATCACTGTATTCTACGACTGCCCCTCCCAGGTTTCGGGTGCGAACAACTTAACGTGCCAGAATAATTCTACTAAGCACGCTTTCTTCGTGAATGGAACCCAGTTGCAGCAATTTTCAGGACTTGACAGCTGCGGGTATCGTGTTCAAGTGCCGGTTTCAGTGGATAGTACCTCGGATTCGCCCGAGAATGCTCTGGATGAAGGGTTTGAAGTGAAGTTTGAAGCCTCTGAGTGTGCAACATGCAAGGATTCTGGAGGCATATGTGGAACGAATCAGCAGAGTAATAGCTCTGTGTTTTCGTGTTATTGTCGCGATGGAACAAGCCATGACACAGCCTGTTCTGCTAGCAGCAGTAGCAGTATGTTCTCTTCTCTCTCTCTCTTTCTCTGTAGAGTACATATTCATTTTTCAATTTTCATAATCTCTAAGTGTGCTGTGCTTTGATGGCAGGTAAAAGAAACAAAGTATTGAAGTTAGTTTTAGGTATGACATCTCAGTCCCAAGATCGTCTTGAGCATCTTAAATTCGAGCTTCTACCTCTATGGCAAAAAATATTCTTTCTCCTTTTTTTTTTTTCCATGTTTTTTTGGTGTCAGATCGATCAAAGCTCAATTTCAAAGCACCATGATGAAAATTTTTGTTTATTTTTCATAGGTTTTGTAGCTACTGGAATTGGATTACCTCTCATAGCAGTCATCATATGCCGAAACAAAGCTAAAATATGGAGGTTCATAACAACCCGCGTTGGCAACAAGAAGATGGATCGAAAAATTGAAGCCTTCCTTCAAAGTCAGGGCCCTCTGGCTCTGGAAAGATACAGCTTCTGTGATTTGAAGAAAATGACAGACTCATTCAAAGTTAAACTTGGAGAAGGAGGCTACGGTGCTGTTTACAAAGGCAACCTACTCAATGGTTGTCCCGTAGCAGTAAAACTCTTGCACGAATCAACTGGGGATGGCGAAGAATTCGTCAACGAGGTTGCTAGCATCAGCAAAACCTCTCATGTTAATATCGTCACCCTGCTTGGATTTTGCTTAGAAGGACGCAGAAAAGCCCTTATCTTTGAGTTCATGTCCAATGGTTCTCTTGAAAAATTCATTTCCAATAAGAAAACAGACGAAACTGTTGCATCATTGAGTTGGGAGACTTTATATCAGATTGCCAAAGGAATAGCTCGAGGACTAGAATACCTGCACAAGGGATGCAACACTCGGATCTTGCATTTCGATATAAAACCACATAACATCCTTCTGGACGAAAAGTATCGTCCAAAGATCTCAGATTTCGGACTTGCTAAGCTCAATAACAATGAAGAGAGCATTATTTCCATATCAAATGCCAGAGGGACAGTCGGGTATGTAGCTCCAGAAGTGTGGAACAAAAACATCGGAGGAGTTTCACATAAGTCTGATGTATATAGCTACGGAATGATGCTGTTGGAAATGGCTGGAGGACAGAAGAAGGATAACAGTGAATCTGAAGAAAGCAATAATGGGTCAGGGAGCGAGGTGTATTTCCCTCCATTGAAGATTTACAAGAAGCTTGAAGAAGGAAGTGATGTTGTGGGAGTGGTTAACGGTGTGATAAGCGTGGAGGAGAATGAGATTGCGAAGAAGATGACAATGGTGGGACTGTGGTGTATTCAGACAATTCCTGCTCAGAGACCAACCATGAGCAGAGTCATTGAAATGTTGGAAGGTAGTACGGATACTCTCGAAATGCCACCAAAGCCTTTCACGTCTTCGACATCAACGTCTGAATCTTCCTTTGTAATGGGTTCATTTCAGAGTAGTGTCTGATGTTTAATCTTGTGCATGTTTTTGGATGTGAATTCTGAATAATGTAAGGCGCGAGGAAGCATGTACGTGTATAACTAATGAATATTATTTTTCTTTGATGGATGAATATTGCTTTTAATATAACATAGCGTTAAAAGCGGGATTTAAATCCTTTGACGTTGAAATCAATAAACTTCTGTGGATTTTGCCTTTCAAGAAAAAAGAAAAGAAAAGATTTCATATTTTATAAAATGTAATACAACAACAACTGCTATAAATTTTATTCCATTAGTTGAGGTGAGTTACATAAATTATATTATACTATTATATTTTATTATTTTTACGAGACTTTTAAAAATATTTTTAATTCAGAGGTCTTAGCCAACAATTTTTATTAGTATTTTTTTTAAGCTTTTCTCCATTTCACTTAATGGAATTCAAAATTATCCATTTCATTGTTTTTACTGGTGTCTCCCATAATTTAATTTATATATGTTTAAATTATCTTAAATAATTTTTCACCATTTTTTCTTAGTAGGTGTTATGCTATTTTATAAAAACTAATATATAGAATGATAAAAATTAAATACTAAAAAAATGATAACTTTACCAAAATTCATAGGTCTTAATTTTAGAGGATTTAAATCCAACAAGAACAATTAACATGATGCAAATTTTGTTGCAGAATCGCAAGTACAAGTATGAGTTGAAGTTTTTAAAACGAAAATAACAGCCTAGTGCAACATTGTAAGCCTTGTTCATAGTTTTTCATAGTTTTTTGATAACGTTATGTGAACAAATTTCCATGATACGCATACCTCTCTTACTGTTCTTATGTCTTCCTTCTAAGTTCTAACCTGGATTTGGGTTTTTATTTATTATCAAAGGTTACATCATACATGCAATTTATAACATTATAAAAACATAAAAATAAAAAGTAATAAGCTTAGTTCAATTTGGAGCATTTAGCTTTCTAAAATTCAAAACCAAATTGGCCAAAATAATTTAAAAAAAAAAAATACACCAACTGAACATCTCATAGTTTGGTTCGTTTTTCAATTCTATTACAATTTTGCAAACTCTAATTGTATATATGAAATTAATTTTTCTTACAAAAAATCTTTTTGTCAATACTTGAAAAACTAACATCTAGAAAATGGCACTTTATAGAACTGACGTATAAACGTTATTCAAATTTCGTCCCTAGGCTTTACGTTCCCCCAAAAATGGTTCTCATTACTTTTCCATTAACCAACCAAATCTAATGTAAGAGTAAAGTGGAGTCAACTTGGATTCTAGTTAAGTAAAAAAAAAAAAAAAAAAAAACTTCTGTGTAACGGGTTTGCGCGGGCTCACCAATCGACTTATTGAGTCATTTATGAGGAAGGAGATTCGTGTTATAATTAGTAAATATAGCATATCAGAATTCAGAAGTGAGGGATAAAATCACTGGCCGAGCGCAGATTACAAAATACCAACAAGTATTGATTTTTCATATGGGCTTGGATCTGTAAGCAAAAATGAAATGAATCCTAATTCAAGAGGCCTGGTTCTTAAAGAATAAGCATCCAAGCAACCCCATGTTTTTTATACTTACATACATACATAAAAACTAATGAACTGGCATACTATATGGAATCATCTCAAAAGTTTGACCTCGTCTGCTTTGTAAGTCTATGAATAACGTTCCTTGATTTCCCCATTCATATCTGCTTGGTTCCACTTGAAGCTCATGAAGAGGTAGAATATTAATCCTTCTACATGAGTGTCTAGCAGTCTACAACTGATCTACTAGGACTAGGAGGGACTACTAAATTTCTGAAAAGCCAAAAATTTGTGGGCCAGACAGCATGTTGAGATAAGTGGTGGTCAATTCCTAGAATTGGTTTTTTAACGTAGCATGCCTGTTTTATGCTTTGCTATTCGTATCATGTATATGCCAGCAGCTCTATCACGTCTCTGCTTCGTTCAAATCCGATGGTTCCAAAACTTTGAGCTATTAACCATTGGATTTTCTGCACTCTGTTCTACATAAAGATCATATTTAGGTGGTTGATTAGAGTTGATCTGAGCAGCCACTTGGAAAATGAAAAAACAGAGGAACCCAATTGAACGAAGAGCCATGAGATGACGCAACTGCAGGCAGGGAGTCAAGATTCTTTCTATCTATTCTTCTTCCATATGTTTGACATCCAACATAAACCAGTTTTTGTACAAGGTCTAATCGGCAACATTTAAATGCTCAAAAAAAATTTAAATGAGTTGGATTTTAGGTTCAAACATCGCTTTGGTGATACTAATATGGATCACTAACATTAGTTCTCGGACGAAGTTCAACAACGGCTCACGCGGACTTGAAACTCACAGCACGATGCATGCCTCCCTTAATGTGTGGTGTATTTTCGACAGAATAAAATTGGTCTATGGATGAGGCGGCGCTAGCAAAATTGTTTTCTTGTTCCCGCCAAGACAGGACAAAATTGTTTATCCCTGATGTATGCTTGTAGCGATAATTCTTTGCTCATTTCCCATCAATCCTTGCTTTTTTGATTGCCTACACGTGTCTTACTATAAGAGACAACTTTGCTCGAAACCGATAGGATATTAATGGAGATTTTCAATGTTGCGAAGTTGCATCAGTTTTTTGTTTGTCTATTTTTGAAGTCTAGAAAAAAATAAAAAATAATTAAACATTTTATTAACTGCGTGAAATCCTAAACAAAAATCCAAGGCGTCTCCCTCACTTTTCCCGTCCAAAGTACAAGACGAGGGAAACAGAATGGATGCTGATCGAGCAGCAGCCGGCAATGCAACCGTAAACCTTGGACTTCACTAGGAAGTCCCTTTTGCATCCGGCCATTGATTCCGTTCGTAGTGCTTCCATTGCAGAGAAACCAAAACAACGAAGGAAAAAAAAAAAAGTGCAATCAAACAAAGCTCAAGTTACATAGCATCGCAAAAAGCAAATATTTTTTAAAACTAATAATAATAACGAAACCCCTATTAAATTTTGGCCCGTTTTCTTCAGTCACAGTAAGTGGTGGCCATGAAAGCAGAACACGACTGGGCACCCTAATTCTCCCGACAAAATGCTTTTCTCGTACACATTCAGAAACTTGTTCTTCTTCTGCTATCTCTTGCTGTCATCAACGACTGTGCCACAATACCAGAGTCGTAGGGAAGATGATGGCTACGTAAACTGCCACTACACCTACAATTGTGGGAACTTTGATATACCCTACCCTTTCTGGGGAGAAAACCGACCCGGTTACTGTGGAAGGGATGGTTTCAAGGTCAAGTGCCTGCCCTCTAACTTACCTTCCATTCAAATCGGCTCCCAAAACTTCACCTTGACGGGTATCAATCAAGATCGTTGGATTGTAAAAATGGTCCGAACAGACATTCCCAGCTACGATAATTGTTCTTTCCATTTCACCAACACTTCATTGGACCCCTCTCTGTTCTCCTTCGACACATCTGTCGTGAACATGACCCTGTTCTATGACTGTGATCCCGGGATTTCCATCGGCCAAAACAACATCACGTGCATGGATGATAGTAAAAAACAGGCTTTCTTCGTGATGAATCAAGATCATCAGTCAGGACGATTATTCACGGAGATTTCTCAGCACTGTGGAATTCAACTTGTGGTGCCGATTACAATGGGCGTCACTGTGGACCCTTTTGGTGGAATTGAATCGCTGAGGGCTGCTTTGGATATGGGATTTGATGTGCAGTATCTCGCAAACTGGAGTTACTGCTCACTATGCATGCAATCTGGAGGAATTTGTGGAAGCGTCCGTGACAATGGATCTCTATTTTCTTGTCATTGCCGAGACGGATCTTATGACTTTGTGTGTCCTAATCTTGCAAGTATGGCTTCTCTCTCTGTTCCTTCTATCTGCAGGCATTTCAGTTTCTCTGCATTATGCATATCAGTGTTTTGTTCTTGTCACGCTTTCTTTATTCGTTGCATCGTATCTCACATCATAGATAACTTCTATGCTCTTCGGTTTGTCTGGTAGGGTGTAGATAAAATTCCTTGAGGCTTGTTTGTTGTCATGATATCAGTTCTTATACTTAACTAGCCAAGTAGTTACACTGATGGTTATGAGTGGTGTCATGATATCAGCTCTTGTACTTAACTAGCCAAGTAGTTACTCATGATAGTTATACTTAGTCATGAGTATTTATGACTGGTTTAATCTCTGTTTTTAAAATTAAAAGTATTTTTATTTACATGTTTTTAAAATTATTTTTATTTTTAATTCTTAGAGGTATTTTCATTTTCTTCTTTTATTTTCAAATCACACTATATTATAGATGATTACCATTAATCACGAATAACCATCATCATGCCCATTTTTTAATTCTAAAATTATTTTAAATTAATTTAATTAGCTTAATCAAATAATTTTTTTATTTTAATTTGATAAACAAGTTTTAAAAAGTGATTTACAAAATAATTTTTAAAAATGAAAAATAGAACAAAATTAAGCAAGACCTCGAGGCTGATTCAATTGGGAACAAAGTTATGGTCTAGGCTAGATTAACAACCCAATTATAACAGTTTGATCACAGTTTAGTTGCAGTCTCATCATTGACTCTTGAAACAATATCCTATCTTGTTTAATGATCAGTTCAATTTTCAAAATTTTGTTTTAACACTTTAAATAATTCTCTCTCTCTCTCTCTCTACACACACACACACACACTATGCTCTAATTTCTTTTTGCTCATGGTTACAGAAAGTTCCAGCAATTCGAAGAAAGAACTTATAATAGGTAATGATGGGTCGACCAACCTTGTGTTTCCATTTTTTTTTCTTTTATACATTTTACACAGTATCTGTTATATTCTAATTCAATACTTCATATCAGCTAATACTTCTTACGTTTCTCACACTACCTTGTTGATGGCTCAGCTTTAGCTGGGTGGTTTTAATGTGCTTCTACATTTGAACGTGTCTGAATAGCACTCTGTCAAAGCAATAAGTGCAAATATATAACTGAAGAGCACCATATGCTTAATAATATATATAAATTTAAATGTATTCAGATTTCGAAGTTTTTAAATTTTAAAATTGCTATATCTTCAGATTAATCTGTCTTCTTTTCTACTCAGACATTTATCCACCATGTGTCATGGCAGGTTTTACAAGTGGAGCAACTGCAACACTTTTAATCTGCATTACTATCTTCCGTTGTAAAATCAGATCATTGAGGCAGAAGATAAGATTCTGGAAGACATCTAAGGTAGACCAACAAATGGAGGCCTTCATTAGAAATCAAGAGCCTTTGGCTCTCACAAGATATAGATTTGAAGATGTCAAGAAAATGACCAAATCTTTCCAAGTTAAATTGGGAGAAGGTGGTTATGGTACTGTATACAAAGGCAAGCTACTCAATGGCTGCCCTGTTGCTGTAAAGATGTTGAATCCATCCAAAGGAAATGGGGAAGAATTTGTCAATGAGGTCGCCAGCATCAGTAGAACTTCTCATGTTAATGTTGTTTCCCTCCTTGGATTTTGTTTGGAAGGCGAGAAAAAGGCTCTCGTATATGAATTTATGCACAATGGATCTCTTGACAAATTTATCCGCAACAAGGAAAATAAAACTAATTCATCCTTGACTTGGGAAAAATTGTACCAAATTGCAATTGGAACAGCTCGAGGACTTGAATACCTGCATAGGGGATGCAACACTCGAATCCTACACTTTGACATAAAGCCACATAATATCCTTTTGGATGAAAGCTTTTGTCCAAAGATCACAGATTTTGGACTTGCTAAATGTTGTCCCAAGAGAAGGAGCGTAATTTCACTTTCAGAAGCTAGAGGGACTCTTGGATATCTTGCACCAGAAGTTTGGAATAGAAATATAGGCGGAGTTTCTTATAAATCTGATGTTTATAGTTATGGAGTGATGCTAATAGACATGGTTGAAGTGCAGAAGAACATATCTATCGAACCCAATGACCCAACTGATGAGAATTATGTTCTCGATTCTATTTATGATAAACTCGAGCAAGGCGTAGATTTGGGTGGGGCGAGCACCAAAGATCAAGAAAATGGTATTGCAAAGAGAATGACCATCGTGGGTTTGTGGTGCATGCAAACATTTCCCACTCAAAGACCTACAATGAGTAGAGTGATCGAAATGTTAGAGGGAAGCCTAGACTCATTGCCAATGCCACCAAAGCCTGTCATGCTTTCCGCTCAAGAGAAGAATTAGAAATTTTTTTTGAAAGAATGACAATTAAAGACTACATATAAAATAATATTTAAAATGAGGGCTTTTAACTTGTAAAAATGAAAGTTTGAGCGGGGGCAGCGAGCTTATTATGTAGTTTTGATGGATCTTGGTTGCATGGTTATTGCCACAACATTGGAGTGTGTATCCCCTTACAGGTAGAACTATGGGCTATGATTGATGGCCTAACTATGGCTTGGGAATATGGTTTTAGAAATATTGAGTTGGATGTTAACTATATGCTAGTTGTGACTCTGCTATCACAATATGCCACTTTGATGAAAGCCAACAGCCTGGGCAAATCTGTTTGTTTTTGAAGGAGTGGCAAGTTGAGGTTCATCATGCATATCAGGAAGGAAATAAGTGTGTAGACTTCTTGGCCTCCTTACCATTTCACTAAATTGGGGTGTGTATGGCCTGAATCATCCACCAAAAGGTTTGAGGAAGTTGCTTCACAACGATGCCGAGAGCATCGGTTAGATATGATTTTGTAATAATATATCTTATTTGGATCTTTTCATTTTCTAAACGAAAAAAAAATGTGAAAAGTTTGGGTGATAAATTTAAAAATTCAAATAGTACGCATATTCATTTTACATTAATTTTGTTAGATGGTTTTAAATTGTCATTCTTCCTTTAAAAAAAAAAAATCCATTGATAAAAATGTCTATCACCAACATCCCATATTTTAGGTCTTAGAAGTTGGAAACTCCTCCTTAGATTCTAGCGGTGCAGCACCAATAAAAATAAAAATGTGTAAAAAATTTGAAGGGGATCGGATATCTATGAATGCAATTTATAATATACTCCTTTGAAAATATTTTTTTTCTTAATATAAGGCAATGTTAGATTAATTAATTTTTTTCCAATTTTATCTCTTATTTATTTATTATCATTTTGACTTCTTAGAGATCAATTTATTATTAATTATAAAGAAAGGCATAATTGAAATGTCATATATATATATATTAACAATTTTTATGATATTATTACCATTTCTTAATAAGCACAACATTAATTAAGTTTGCCTTATATTGTTAAGGATTGGAGGGAGTATGTGGCATGAAATATTATCTGCCATAATAAATATTAAAGAGAATGGCCATTCAGGCAAGTCCATCAAAAGGATATGCAAGCCTTCAAAAAGTATTTAAACTGAGCTCAAAATTTATTATATTTCATTACAGGTTTTGGTGACATTGTACTATTTAAATTTTCAAATTTAAACGTGATTCTCATTTTATAAAAAAAAATCCTTAAACATGATTCTCCGTTCATTTTGTAAAAGATCAAAATCCATAATTAATTTTACAAAAAAAAAAAACAAAAACAAAATCCTTAAACGTTTCTCCCTCCATTTTTCCTCCTCGTAAATCAGTCCACAACCGAAATTGAGAGGCAGTTTCTTGATCGACATTTTGAGTATGGTCGGTTGTCATTAATACGTAATTTTCAACGGCAAAATGACATTTGATTGGGAATGGTCGAATTGAAAATCAATAGTAGATAAAACTCTAATCTTGGTTACGAGGATGAACATTTCTACCTGCTCGAAAATGCTATTCATACACACACACACACACAGACACACACATATATAATTCTATTTATATGTAATTCAATTGATTTCTCCTACGATCAAGTTCAACTAGTCAAACCCGTGTAGACTAAGCCTCCATCATTGACCTTATCACTCAAAGCGTGTCTATGTTTCCTTAATTCTGGTTTATAGTCCTGCGAGAGTTGTTACTTGTTAAGCAGCCATTCTAAAGCCATATTCTTTGCAAATCATACTGCATACGGATCCTCCTGTTCTTTTATCCCAGTTTCTCTTCAAGACCTTATTTTTCTCTCTATTATTCTCTTTTATTTCGCTTCTGCAAATGAACAATTCTCAGCTTGCAAGCCTTTCAGCTGCGGAAGCTTCACCAACCTGAGCTTCCCATTCTGGGTCCATTCACAGCCTGATTATTGTGGCCATCCCAAGTTCAAGCTGGATTGTCATGGATACAATGCTACAATCAACATCACGTCCCAGAACTTTCACGTAATCGATCTCAACCTCACCGCTAGGACTCTTCGGATAGCACGAATGGATTTGTGGGGTACCAAGTGTCCAATGATCATTTCACAAACATCACGTTGGATTATGCTTCTTTAGCTACAGTCTCAATGATGAGAACTCTACTCTATTATATGACTGCGACACTTCAGAAAATACGACTAGAGTGAACTCATCAACTTCTGTGAGATTTGATTTCCCAGTACATGGTGTTCCTCGTGAAGCATACTTTTGCGGGGTGAGAGTCGGAGCAGGACTGGCCTGGGATGTAGAACTAGTATTACCGTTCCTGTTCTGAGAAGTTTAATGGAGGATGTCATAGATCCTGGGGATGTTATAGATCAAGGCTTTGAGGTTAAATGGGAACTGAAAGAAGGGCTGTGTGATGATTGCAGAATCTCAGGTGGAAGATGTGGGTACGACGTAAGTTCGGATGAATTTACTTGTTTCTTTCCAGATTATGATAGGGTTTGTTTTACTGATTCATTAGAAGCACCAGCACCATGGCTGGAGCCATGGCCTCCTTATTCTTCAGGTTCATCAGGGGGTATGTGTACTTTCTCTCACCTTCTAGTTTTGATTAGATTCCTCTGCTTCATAATACGATCATCCTGATATGTTTTGGATGGCAACGGTTTAGGTAGCTTGCCATCATCGATAAATTGAATTCGTTAACATTTATGCCAACTCTTTAAGTCACTCTCAGAACAAAGTCTCAATATATATCTGCAACTAGGTTTGTCCTCTGTAGCAACCCGATTTGTGAAGATAAGTTGAAATCCTCATCATCTCAATCAACCAGATTTGGAGGATCTGGGTAATGAAGCTAATGATCCCCAGAATTCAATAGTATACTCATACAGATCATGTCATTAAATTTGTCCTCCTGCTGAACTTACGTAGTTGGGTCTAGATTTATCTTCATCATCAAACAATCGGTCAGGGTCCTTCTTAAGTCATATCGTCCTTCAACTTACCTCGCAGCTCTTTCGATGGCCTTTCAGTTTTTGCCGATGGAATTTTTATTTGTGGGATAACTCAACAGTGTCATTGTCCATTAATGTCTTCCTATACATGTATTAAATGAGTAGGGCCAAGATATTTCTACATTAATTGAGAGAGTCTCTATCCAACACAGCATGTGAATTTGGGGACATGGGAGTTTTAAAATCTTAAATAAAATCCATATAGTGTATATAACTCATTTTAAATTTACATATATTACATGATGTATATAATTTAATACTCCATCCATTAAAAAATATGAGATATTTTTTAAAAAGTTGAATGTTTAAAAATATAATGTATTTTAATTTTCGAGGTGTATGTAATTTTGTTTTTGTTTTAAAAGTCCCTATTGATAATAATTTTATAGTTATTATAGAGTATTTAATAGAAGTAAATAAAAAGATAAGGTTAGTTGATAAGTAGGTGACTACTTTATTCGGAGGTAAAATTTAATTAAAAATATTTTATATTTTTAAATAGAAGGAGTATAATTTTTTCAAATAAAAAAATAACATGCATTAGATCCTTGATTCACATCACAATCATACCACATTCAAAAAAAAAAAAAAAAACAACAACAACAACAATAGAGATAACATATTTATGTTCATCTACCGCATTGTACCACCAAAAATTCACGAGTAAAATCAAAACCTTAAGATCATTTATCGTTTCATTAAAAATTAATATTTGAATCTTGCTTCAAAATTGAATTTAGTAATAAATAAAAAAGCAATAAAAAATATATAAAAAAAGGACAAATGAGCTTATTTAACCCAGGTATAAAAACGATTCGAGATGATTTTTTTCCTCCAATTCAGCTTGCCTAAAAAATAGATTATAGATTCATAGATTGTAGTATAATTGAATTGTCCGTGACAAATTTGGGTGGTGTAAATTACGCAAAAAAATTTTAAAAATATTTGTTATTTTTTAAAAAAATGTAAAAAAGAAAAAGAAAAAAATAATAATCTTCTCAGTTCTAACTTCTAAGTTCTAACTATAATAACATCTGTCCAGCTGCCGAATGTTTTTCCTTACCTTCATCGGTCCCTTCACCTTCGATCTTCGTAATCATCTGTTGAAATCTTCTCAGTCCTCTCCCTTCCCCTGAGTTAGATGTTGTTTTGGTGCGGGACACTGGAACTTTTGTTTAGTTTCCTTTTCCTTGTGTATAAAAAAAAAGAAAAAAAGAAATGCCTCTCAATCTCTTTCTGTATCTGCCAAATGTCAAGAATGTGACTCTATTATGGGAGTTTGAGGAATAACACGGCCCTGTGCACCGGTCATCAGTCGGATTGATATCATGTTGCATACAGCTATGGTAGAAAAAGGGGAACAGTATGCTCTTCTTCCCCCTTATCTCTACTCAACTTCGCCCATCGCTTCTTAAATTTACGCATTGGTAGACTATTTCATACTCATTGTGATATTGATTTTGGCTTCCAGAGAAAGCCTTTTTTTTTTTGGGGGGGGGTTAAATTTCAAGAAAAAGATTTGATTGCGTTTCGATTTTTTTTTTTGGGGCCAAAATTGCGTTGGATTGAAGCTAAAAACGCCTAATTGCTTGCCCCCAGTAAAAGAAACATCTACAGGACCAAAAACCCTCAGATGAATTCAAATTCAAAAACTTAATTCCTGATTAAATAAGCAGGTCTTGGCTGGAACCCTTATTACTTATTAGTAGAAGTTATCTTGCAAGTTTCTCTTGTGATTTTGTTTTTTCCGCCAATGAAATGTGATAACTCCTCCATCAAGTCTTTTTAACACCATGCCTGGATTTGTTGCAAGATCTCTCATACATACTTCACAAGCAGATGGGTTTTTTTTTTTTTTTTTTAAAGAACAAGGATTTTAGAATTTTATGGAGGAATTGATAATCAACATCTAAATAGTTTTTGCTTAGGGAATGCCGTAGGCTTCTAGTTGAAATTTTCGGGAAAGATCCCAAACCGCTCGTAGTCACACAGTTGCATGATTGAGTTAGCATTTTTTGGCGTAACTTTCATTTATATAGGCTCTAATTTCTCTTTGCTCTCTATTGCAGAAAGCTCATGGAGTTTGAAGACGAAACTTATAATTGGTAATAGATCGTCCTGTTTCCACATTTTTCTTCACGATTTACGTAGTGTTTGTTACCTTTCAATCCATTACTCAATATCAACTGTTATTTTTTCCACATTGCATTCTACCATGTTGCTGTGCTGCCTTAGCTCGATGATTTTAAATGAGCTTCTTCCATATCTCGGCTGAAAAAAAGGGGGCCATTGGGTTAGGGATTTTTAATGTGCCCTTTTCTAATGGCTATTGAGTGTAAATATATTAACACTCTTGAGTTAGCAAAATGTACATACATTCCAAATATATAGCCAAGCATCAAAATTTACATTGGCAGATCGCATCTTTTTCTTCAACGTCTGTTAGATCACTTCATTTTTCAGCATTGCAACATTGTATCAAACCAATCAAGAAATCTTTCATATTTCCTACTAATATATTTACTTACTATACTTGATAGGTTGTACCTGCGGAGCAATTGCAGCACTTCTACTATGTATTACACTATTTTGTTGTTCAATCAAATCACTAAGAGCATGTTTGGTTTCACATTGGAAACTGTCAAATTATGGTTTTGGTGGAAGCAAAAAGTATCAAAATCATGGTTCTGGTGGAAAGCTCGTGGTAGCATCAAAACTATGGCTTTGGTGGAAGCAAATAGTAGTATCAAAACCCTGGTTTTGGTGGAAGCACATTGTAGTATCAAAACTATGGTTTGGTGGAAGGTGGTAGGATTAAAACCATGGTTTTGGTGGAAGCGGGTGGTAACTACTTGCTTCCACCTTGATTTTGATGGTTTTCAACGTAAAATCAAACACGTACAAAGGCAAACAACAAAATTTTGGAAGAGATCCGAGGTTGACCAAACATTGAGGACTTCCTCAAAAGTCATGGGCCTCTTGCTCTCACGAGATATAAATTTGCAGATATTAAGAAATGACCAAATCTTTTGAAGTTAAATTGGGCCAGGTGGTATTATGGCGCGGTGTACAAAGGAGTGCTACTAAATGGCTACCCGGTGGCTGTAAAGATATTGGCTACATCCAAAGAGAATGGTCAAGAATTTATCAACGATGGGGTTGGGGTACTAAGCATTAGCAGAACATCCCATGTTAATGTTGTCACCCTCCTGGGTTTTGTTTGGAAGGGAGGAAAAAGGCTCTCATCTATGAATTTATGGCTAATGGGTCCCTTGAAAAAGTTATTTCCAACAAGGTACATAACACTAATCCATCCTTGACTTGGGATATGTTCTACCAATTGCCATAGGGACCGCTCGAGGGATTGAATACTTGCATAGAGGATGCAAGACTCGAATTTTACATTTTGACATAAAACCACATAATATCCTTTTGGATGAAAGTTTTTGTCCAAAGATCTCGATTTTGGTCTCGCCAAGCTTTGTCCCAAAAAAGAAAGCATCATTTCAATTTCAGAAGCTAGAGGGACTATAGGATATCTTGCTCCAGAAGTTTGGAATAAAAACATAGGTGGAGTTTCACATAAATCTGATGTTTACAGCTATGGAATGATGCTATAAGACATGGTGGGTGGACGGAGAATATGAATGTTGAAGCCAACTGCCACACCCAAGTATTTTCCAGATTGGATTTATGATAAACTTGAGCAAGGCAGCAGCAATTTGGACATGATGGAGTGAACACCAGTTATGAAAATGATATTGCAAAGAAAATGACTACAGTGGGTTTGTGGTGCATTCAAACATTTCCCACTCAAAGGACCTACAATGAGTAAAGTGATTGAAATGTTACGAGGAAGCCTAGATTCATTAGAAGTGCCACCAAAGCCTGTCATGACTTCCCCTTCCAGAGGAGGAGAACTAGTGTTGTGCACCACCGCCACTTAGTAGTGCAATCTGTTCACTGTCATTTTGACGTATTTTGGATTGGTGAAGAGCAATAGATATACTAACGGGCCAGTTCCAAGTATGGACTAGAATTCTTGGAGGGTTTCACATGTATGTGATGTTTATAAATATGTTAGTTATTACAAATTTTTTTCTT